AGCCCGGCTCTCCCGTGTGCGTCATACTCATGACGCGGATACCGTTGGCGTAGCCCACGCTCATCTCCTGTGCAGAGATAAAGACGCAATGCTTAGAGTACAGACGGAGAGCTCTGAATCAGTGATGACACACCTCCCCGGAAGCCTCACCTTACAGAACATAGACGGGAAATGGTCGGGGGTCATTGGAGTGTAAGACAGCTCAGACAGTACATCCATGGCACGGGGGCCAATCAGGTTCAGAGCTGCAAAACAAGAGCCGTGATGAATGGAGGAGGAAGTGAAATCCCGGAGTACCCGGCTGAGCCCCAGAGGAGGAAGTGAAATCCCAGAGTACCCGGCTGAGCCCCGGAGGAGGAAGTGAAATCCCAGAGTACACGGCTGAGCCCCGGAGGAGGAAGTGAAATCCCGGAGTACCCGGCTGAGCCCCTGAGGAGGAAGTGAAATCCCCGAGTACCCGGCTGAGCCCCGGAGGAGGAAGTGCAATCCCCGAGTACACGGCTGAGCCCCAGGAGGAGGAAGTGCAATCCCCGAGTGCACGGCTGAGCCCCGGAGGAGGAAGTGAAATCCCGGAGTACCCGGCTGAGCCCCGGAGGAGGAAGTGAAATCCCCGAGTACCCGGCTGAGCCCCGGAGGAGGAAGTGAAATCCCCGAGTACCCGGCTGGGCCCCGGAGGAGGAAGTGAAATCCCCGAGTACCCGGCTGAGCCCCCTGCATCCTGTATGGGAGATCTGCAACATCTGCGGAATGGATGGTAACGGCGGATATAGATGGCGTGCCCTACCTGTGTACTTCCAGGTGACGTCCTCCAGCAGCAGGTCGCTGTCGGTGGGCATGTGCTGCCTCAGCCAGGACCAGCAGTGGACTTGCTGATCCGTAGGGGAGATCATGAAGAATCTGGAAGAGAAGGACAGGTCACCGTACTGAGACATGGAAGACCCCGCAGCCACTGACCCCTCTCCGCCATCATAGGGGGACCCCCCCGCTCACCTGCGCTTATTGAGCCGCACCATACTGCAGTCGTTCTCGTACCCTCCGCGCTCGTTCAGCATGCCGGTGTGCACTATGTGCCCCACGGGGACATTCAGGTCATTGGAGAAGAGATACTGCAGGATTGCCAGCGCCTGGTCCCCTGGAGACTGACAGACACGTCCCATATTAATACTACAGACAGTGAGCCGGAGGCGGCCAATCAGGATCTCAGCCCGGGAACATGTGGGAAAGGAACTAGCCAGACAAGACTAAAGAGAACCGGTCAGAGTCTCGTGGGCCTGTAGAGTACACCATGCCCAGCGTGCATGGAAAACGCCCAATCTGTCCTCATGTCCCCTCTGCCAATGGGGAGCTTCTACAGGCCATCTGCATATATGCAAATTAGGCAAATTACAGCGGAGTAACAGTGGCCCGTGGCCCCAATCTGACGCCCGATCTGGGTAATGAGGTATTTAGATATCTGCCACCCTTGGAGAGTTCAAGCCTTGTGATCCCGGGGCGGTAATGTCACTGGCGGTGTTGCTGAATGGAGTCATCTCCAAAGATCCAGAATCGGGCCGGCTCTCCAGAATCGGGCCGGCTCTCATTGGGCCTCATTTGCATAGTCGCAAGTTGGCAAAAAGGTTGTTTAGGGTCTGTCAGTAAAGTGCAGGAGACACTGAGAACATGACAGGTACTCTTTACTGGCAGCATTCTATATGTAACAAGGGGAGGAAACAAAGCTGAATCACATGCAGTTTGCACCAATATAGCCGCTTCCGCGGTGACCGCCCAGTGATATGCAAATTAGCCAATGTGGGTGTGTCCTGCTCCTCATCTCTTCCCCAACACCCCAAAGCGAGGAATCGATGAGGAGGAAGCGAGAAGAGGAAGTTTGGGGCGATCGACAGCTAAAAATAAAAAGACTTACAGGAATCTGACGAGCGAGACGGCACAGAAAGAGAGAAACAGAGAAGATGAAATCGGCGCACGGACGCGCAGTGCGGTCAGGGCGGCGGGCGGTACTCACGCTGATCTCGAACTTGGTGAAGGACGACATGTCGATGACGCACACGGCCTCCTTACAGCACTTCACCTCCGAGCCGACAATATCGAACCAGTCCGGCTTGTAGAAGGTTTTACTCTGATTCAGGGCCAGCAGGTCTGCGGACAAAGGACGCCTCTGATCAGTGACAGCGGATTGCTCCACCTCCTTTACGCGCTACCTCGGGAGGTAGGAGGCGGCTTAAATACTCTGGAAACGTCTCATGGCAATGGCTATCTGTATATAATTGCAGAGTGCAGCATACAGTAAGACCTCAATGTCCGGCTGTAGATTGTGTAGAGCGCCCCCCAGCCACAGCAGAAGCCACTGCAGATAAAAGGCCGCTGAGCTCCATATGAAAGCAGCGGCCTATCTGCAGCAGTCCATCATGCCCCATTGTAGTTCACCCACGCCTCTGCCGTCCCTGAGGAGGGAGAACGAGCATTGGCGCCCCTCACCTTTTCCAGGAGGTACAAAATATTTGGCCCTCTCGAAGCCGTGCTTCTCCATCCACCGGGCTCCCTGGGTATCGAGCCGGTCATAGAGGGGGGAGGTGCGCAGCTGTCGTCCGGTCTGGAAGTCCCATCGCGGCACCTTCAGATCGTAGATCAGAGCTAGAAGAGAAATATCCGGAAGATGGTCAACGAGAATCTGTTGTTTTTTAAACGCTGAGGAATCGGAGGGTTCAGATGGTTGAGAGATCTGAGGGTTCAGGGATCAGAGGGTTCAGGGATCAGAGGGTTCGGGGATCTGAGGGTTGAGGGATCTGAGGGTTCAGGGATCTGAGGGTTCAGGGATCTGAGGGTTCAGGGATCTGAGGGTTCAGGGATCTGAGGGTTCAGGGATCTGAGGGTTCAGGGATCTGAGGGTTCAGGGATCTGAGGGTTCAGGGATCTGAGGGTTCAGGGATCTGAGGGTTCAGGGATCTGAGGGTTCAGGGATCTGAGGGTTCAGGGATCTGAGGGTTCAGGGATCTGAGGGTTCAGGGATCTGAGGGTTCAGGGATCTGAGGGTTCAGGGATCTGAGGGTTCAGGGATCTGAGGGTTCAGGGATCTGAGGGTTCAGGGATCTGAGGGTTCAGGGATCTGAGGGTTCAGGGATCTGAGGGTTCAGGGATCTGAGGGTTCAGGGATCTGAGGGTTCAGGGATCTGAGGGTTCAGGGATCTGAGGGTTCAGGGATCTGAGGGTTCAGGGATCTGAGGGTTCAGGGATCTGAGGGTTCAGGGATCTGAGGGTTCAGGGATCAGAGGGTTGAGGGATCAGAGGGTTCCGAGATCTGAGTGTTGAGGGTTCAGAGATCAGAGGGATGAGGGATCAGAGGGTTGCGAGATCTGAGGGTTGAGGGATCAGAGGGTTGAGGGATCAGAGGGTTGAGGGATCAGAGGGTTGAGGGATCAGAGGGTTGAGGGATCAGAGGGTTCCGAGATCTGAGGGTTCAGGGATCAGAGGGTTGAGGGAACAGAGGGTTCCGAGATCTGAGGGTTCCGAGATCTGAGGGTTCCGAGATCAGAGGGTTGAGGGATCAGAGGGTTGAGGGATCAGAGGGTTGAGGGATCAGAGGGTTGAGGGATCAGAGGGTTGAGGGATCAGAGGGTTGAGGGATCAGAGGGTTCCGAGATCTGAGGGTTCCGAGATCTGAGGGTTCCGAGATCAGAGGGTTGAGGGATCAGAGGGTTGAGGGATCAGAGGGTTGAGGGATCAGAGGGTTGAGGGATCAGAGGGTTGAGGGATCAGAGGGTTGAGGGATCAGAGGGTTGAGGGATCAGAGGGTTCCGAGATCTGAGTGTTGAGGGTTCAGAGATCAGAGGGATGAGGGATCAGAGGGTTGCGAGATCTGAGGGTTGAGGGATCAGAGGGTTGAGGGATCAGAGGGTTGAGGGATCAGAGGGTTGAGGGATCAGAGGGTTGAGGGATCAGAGGGTTCCGAGATCTGAGGGTTCAGGGATCAGAGGGTTGAGGGATCAGAGGGTTCCGAGATCTGAGGGTTCCGAGATCTGAGGGTTCCGAGATCAGAGGGTTGAGGGATCAGAGGGTTGAGGGATCAGAGGGTTGAGGGATCAGAGGGTTGAGGGATCAGAGGGTTGAGGGATCAGAGGGTTGAGGGATCAGAGGGTTGAGGGATCAGAGGGTTGAGGGATCAGAGGGTTGAGGGATCAGAGGGTTGAGGGATCAGAGGGTTGAGGGATCAGAGGGTTGAGGGATCAGAGGGTTGAGGGATCAGAGGGTTCCGAGATCTGAGGGTTCAGGGATCAGAGGGTTGAGGGATCTGAGGGTTGAGGGTTCAGAGATCAGAGGGTTGAGGGATCAGAGGGTTCCGAGATCTGAGGGTTCCCGAGATCTGAGGGTTCCGAGATCTGAGGGTTGAGGGATCAGAGGGTTGAGGGATCAGAGGGTTGAGGGATCAGAGGGTTGAGGGATCAGAGGGGTCCGAGATCTGAGGGGTCAGGGATCAGAGGGTTGAGGGATCTGAGGGGTCAGAGATTGGACCTTCAGAAGTCACATGACGTAACTGTCCTTTATTCGGAGCACGTCGGTGAGATTCCCATTAGCGGGGCCTATTATAAAGGATTGGACTCGATACCGATGGTGGAAATATGAGTCCGGAGCCGGCCGCGGGGGAAGGGGCCCCTCAAAGTGCTGCGACTTCATAACAGACAGAACTCTCCGGCCGCTGGATTCCCGGAGACGCAGACCTGACCCAGAGATGGTCACATGACCAGATCTGCGTACCCTACATACTTACGCATGACCTCCATCACTCGGTGCCGCAAGAAAGTCCTGCTGCTCTGGAGGGCCCCAAAGCGCTTGATGTCCAGGGGCCACACGTTATCTTGTGGGTAACCATTGACCATCCATTCCGCGAGGAACCTGGAGGAGAAGAGGAACAAACATCACAGCTGGAATCTCATCCATCGGACATATTAATGACCTCACTGGATGGACAGGAAATGGGAGGGGCAATACAAGCGGTACGCACCTGCCAGCTCCGCCTCCCAGCGAGCAGCCCTGAGAGTTCATCCCGGCCAACACGAAGTACTTGGACAGCGTAGGGCTCTCGCCCATCACACAGCGCATATCGGGGGTGAAGGACTCCGGGCAGCTGACCAGGCGTAAGATCTCCAGCGCTTCCAGGGACGGCATGCGGCGCAGCAGAGCGCTGAGTAGAGGTTCTGCGAGCCAATTAGAGAGGAGTTACAAAATCCGATGGCCAATGCCACAACTCCCATCTCTCCCCTCTGCCTCGGCACCCCTCCCCCTCCAAACTCCTCCCTCTGAACTTCTCTCCCTGCACCTCCCACTATGCCTCAGCACACCTCCTCCTTCACTCCCTGCCCCCACCGAACCCCTTCCCTCCAAATCCCTTTCTCTGTGCCTTTGAACTCCTCCCCCTCTACACCCCCTGAACCCTAACTCCTAAACCCCAACAATCCTCCTCCTCTGCACCCCTCCCCCTGCATATCCAAATATCTTCCCCCTCCAAACTTCTCTCCATACCCCTCCCACTATGCCTCAGCACCCCTACTCCTTCACTCCCTGCCCCCACCTCTGCACCCCTTTCTCTGTGCCTTATGCACTCCTGCCCCTCCTA